ATACCGAAGGGATTTCATTTTTACCCAAATTTTTTTAATGAATCCCTCCTTTTCTGCATAAGTCAATTCAGTTGCTCTCCAATTGTTTTGCACCAGGTTCAAAAGTTTGTAGAGGATCCCAGAGATTATACTACCGTGCACACTAATGTGCACTCAGCAAACCACTGTGAAATAAATACTGTAGTACTGTACTTCATAACCAGTTCTTCCTCAAATATCAACTATACATAATTTAGTTTTAACTTTTGTATCCGAACTCTTTTTTATCCAATCTAAAATTCCCCTATCTTATCAGATATACTTTCTTTTCTGGAGAAGTCCTCTTGTGATATTCTGATGGAAGTGACTCCTAAAACTCCAGCTGATATCAAAGGGGGTATTCTAGTAAAGCATGGCGGTAAACTTCACCTGCTCGAGATGGCTCAGGTTAGTGCAATCAAAATTTCGACAACTCCATTCAACATATACAATAGTTATTTGACCTTGTTTCGCAATTTGGTCATATTGGCAGGGAGACCTATAGGAACGCACCTTATCCGGAGTCCGTTGTATGGAAGATAATTTCCAGATTCGGACCGTGGACTTGGTACGTTCCCAGACACTACATCCTGTTCTTCGTTTCACTTGATTCTATAACTTTATTCGTCCTTTTTGCCTCTCACCAACCAGCCAGTATACTTGTTGCGAGGCAGTCTGGCTGCCGGCCAAGATTGCCGTTTAAAATACTTGCTCTTGCTTCAAGTACAACTAGCCTTTTTTATTCCTTTATTTTTAATCTCAATCTATATCTTCATAATCTGTAGACGATAGTAACAATGAACAGATATATAAGCTCATACTTCGGGTTCGGTTCACCTTTTTCGTTTAGCTCTTTATCACTCTTTGCACTTGTCATTGGACTGCTGCCGACTTACAACTTGTTTTGTGCTATTTGGAGTCAAACGAGCTAAAGCTTAACCAAACAGGCTCTATTGTGAGTATTCATTCTATACTAGTGTTCGTGATCACATGGCGAAGTTCAAGCCATGTCTGGCTCTTAAGAATTGTCCACTTTCAAGTTCTAAGGTCTTGGTACTTTGATCTCTTTTTTCATCCTGTTGGCGTTCACAGGTACCAAGTGACCGTCTTTCCGAGTTCATGTGCGTCCGAAAATTCGACAATTTCAACACGAACAATCTCTGGCTGAGCCTGGTGCAGGCGAAATGTTTGCTTGAACAACAACGAATTCGTATGGATTTGATCGTTAATCAAAAGACACTAAAGGACGGACGAAGAGTGATCCAGCTTGAGGAGGCGGCTGGTGCAGCGATTCAAAGCTTTTCCAACCCCCGAGGTGTGTATTACCGCAAGTCTACAGCCGCGAAATGGCAAGACTTTCGAAATTAATGTTTATCTGGAACGTGATTCTCAAGATAAAGGATTTTATCACAGGGTCTAAACTTTTCAGGCTTACTTGTATCATATATGCGGCAAAATTTCCCAACTCTAAGACGCAGGCACTAAAACCAAGACAGATTTGCCAGACATTAAGTGTATCACAGAATTATGACCAATCTAAGAAATGTTTTCATAACTTTAACGTAATCGAGTACACACTCAGTCACTGATTTATGGCGGACAGAACACAAAAGTATTTAATCAAGGGACTCAGAATCAGACCTATTTTCCAAAGTAACTATTTCGATAAGGCTATGCTGCAAAAGCTAGATTGCACAAAGTGTATGTGAGGAATGAATATCGTGATTAGACTAAGAGTCACATGATTTTGAACTCCTACTATTGCCGTATATGCTTTGAGCTTCAAGATTTATTAACATGCCAGTGAGTGTATTGAGTCCAGTTTCTATTGGGGATGAAATTCGGCCATGAAGCTTACTCGTCTTATATGAACATCTTATAAATCAGACCTGGGATTTTTAATATAATTTCAAGACATTTTAGGTCCATTATTTTAATAAATACAAATTGAGTAATATACAATTACAGCCAATTTAGTAACTATGAGGAGCCTGACGATTGTTAATGTGCACAACTTCTGATTTATTTTACTTGACTGATAGAGCGGATTTGCGACAAAGCTATATAAGTTTTTATTTGTCTATATTGACGAGTAGTTTTGTGAGCAAGATAACTATCGGTCCTGTAGAGATTAAGAAACAAGAGTTCATTGGCGATAAACCGGTTCCAGATAGCTGCAAAATGACATATTACTAATGACAATTCAGTAATATATTTTGTTTAATGGTAAATACGCCGTTTCTTGTAAATACAGAATTCCTCAACGAAGAAGAGAGTTGAAAGTTTTGCTTTTTATGTGACTCAAGGGGGTAGAAGTAATATTTTTAACTGTCAATGCATATAACCATGTTTCGAATCACATTATGTGTGCTAAATAGACAGTGAGGCTAAATCCAGATTAAACTCTTGTCTGCCTGATAACTGTATTTTGGGATGCCTGGCACAGCTAAATTCTATGCAAAATTCAAGCCCTTTCTTTACGTAATCATAACCAGAATATATCATTCAATCGAAATCCCATGAATGTAGAACATTTCTACAACAAATGAATCGATCTCAAGTTTATTTCAAGCCATGTACTCCTGTCTAGATTTAAGAAACTCTAAATATACTATGTTGCTTTGACCCAGTTTTCGAACCATGATCGGACCCTATGAAAAGTACAAAATCCTCAATCCTCTTTGCCTACGTCTAGGAATGTACCAAGTCAACGGTCCCATGCTGACAAGCATCATGAATACTATGGCGGAGGACGCAGGATAGGTACGTTCCAGAAGGTCTCCCTGTCGCTCCCACCAAATTGCTAAAACGAAGTCAAACCAACATCATACAGCTAAGGTAGGCTGCGACCAAACCTAAGACCACACCACTTTGGTCTTCATATATACAATCTAAATATACTGTTCCGGGAATCTATGAATGGAAAAAATGCTTGATTTTGCCAGATGAATGAGCTCAACCAAATCTGGAATGGACTGGGTCTTCTTAGAAAATAAACTCACGAGATTCTAAGCGAAGAGTAACACACTTTACCATAAAGGCCCTGACTCTAATGGGTTTCCCATCATGAATAACCCCTAGAAGCGAGCAGATTATTTATGGCCCTCAGTTATGTGCAAGCTATATGTATAAGATAGAATGTGATGACCACCAAACTCCATCTTTTTTTGCAATATTGGGGTCA